ATATATATATTTTTTTTTTGTTTTACTTTGAAAATCGCACAGCGAATAACAGCCAACTATACTAGCGTGAATCTCGACCTGATGACTTAAGCAACGCAAAGCCATAATGAATAATACACTTGACATGGGAGAAAAAAGAACACAAAAAATGAAAACCACATAAAGTGTTACGAGCCGTATTTGTGGATGATACATGTACGTACTTATAGTAAAGGATATTATTTTGTTAAAGCACATTGCACACGCGGCAACCTATGCAATATTTATAAAATAGAACCAAGTCTGTGCCAAGATTTTTCATAATAATATACAAGCATTTTTACACGGAATTTTTAGATATGAAAATTACAATATTTCGACTACATGGAATTTAAAAGTTTTTATAAAAACTATTTCAGACACTTTTTTATAATACACCCGTTTCGAGATTTCATGTAAGCGCATCGGAGTTTGACTTTACAAATGTTAACCATTACTTCATGTACTCGGAAATTCGTTGAGTTTATTCGTACATGATTGAGACAATGAAAATTTAAAAAACTTTATATTCCTAGGTATGTAATGAGTTGATTCTTTTAAGCTTTACGTAATACTGTTTCAATTTATTAAAGATATATTAATTTTTATTATAATATATTTACCTACGTATAAGCGTATGAAATCAAAAATTGTTGAGAATTGATCTTTATATTTTTCTAGCAACTAATGGTAGCCTATTTAGCAGAAAATAGTAGTTTTCTTCACACGAGTGCCATTTCCATCGAGGGTTGTCCCCGTCGAATCGCATTCATGTAGTGAATCCTATTTTTCCTACCGAGGGCACAGCAATCGTCCAAAGGTCACAAAAAATGCCCGCGGTAGGAAAAAAATCTTTACGCACTTGAAAATAAACTCGATGAGTTTCCGTAAACCAAATACTACTATAAAATAAATTGACACGTAACATTAAATTAACTAAACTGTATATTGGCGTAATTATATCCCGTAGAAAAAAAAAAAAAAAAAAAACGTAGAATTTGTATTGATCCCCAAAGTGCTGATTCATAAATATTTCACGTAGATCATGTATTATTATCCTTATCGCCGACTTAATTATGTATACTACGGTGAGCAATGAAACTTTACCAATATCTTACTAAGTCGGTGATAAATTAATTAATTATATTTATTATGTCTGTTTAAAAAAAATAAATTAAATTGATTTAAATGCATTTTGAAAGTTGTAAGTCTTTTACTATTATACCAATCGTAAGATTAAAATTGTTTAGACTGTGGCGTAGAATATTTTTTAATGCTTATATATAGCATTTGCGTCTTTATACAAAAAAATTTTTTTTAATGACTACTTTACAATAAAAAATATTCGAAACAATATAATTTAATTGAAATTGTAACACGTATTATACTGTTAACTTAATTTATTTTAATTTAATTTATTGTAACGTGTAATATTTTATATACAACATATGAATACACACACTTACATACTTGATAATTTTATGGCATAATAAAGGAGATATAAGGCGTACATTGATTTTTATAGGATCAAATTTGTGTTTCTCAATGAAAAGTACTTTATACTGCCCATTCATTAAAATTTTCGTCTTCATGATATTCAGTTGTCAATTTTTTAGTTTGAAAATTTTTTTGTACATCTTCATTGCAAAATAAAGATGGTTAGTGAATTTTAATCGTGACCAATGAAATTTTTTTATCTCCCTATTGATTTTTTATTTTCATACAAATTTTCAACCAAACACGGGTGTTAACAAAATTAGTGCAGATCAATATTATTTTTTAATTTTTCTGGATATCCAGTCATTTGTGTTATTATTATTATTATAATTTTTTTTTTTTTTTATCATGAATCAATAAAAAATATGTAGGAAATTCAAACAAACTGCATGGACGTATGCGAAAGCTGCGAGAAAAAAGTATACCCACTGGAGAAAGTCGAGACAAACAACAAGATATTCCACAAGCAGTGTTTCCGGTGTCTGCGATGCAACTGCATTTTAAGGTATGAAATTTGAATTTAATGTTTCATGGTGAGAGTAAACAAAAATTTGCTACATTTAATTTTCAGAATGGACACCTTCACGCTGAATAATGGCAAGCTCTACTGCATCCCGCACTTTAAGCAGCTGTTCATAACACGAGGCAATTACGACGAGGGCTTCGGTGTCGATCCACACAAGAACAAGTGGTCAAACTCAGGTGTCTCACCCACTTCCACGATGACGACGACGACTCCGCAGGCGGCGTCGCCGGCACCTATAGCCGTGAGTAACGGCGACGTCTGATCGCGACTCGACTACGTCAGGAAAAATCAACACGAGAGAAATTTTTAAACAAGAAACGACTGAGACGTGTATACTGTCGGCTGCGTTTTTGTTCAGAAAAGATCAAACAATATTATTAATATTATTATTTTTATTATTTTTATTATTATCCACATTGTCATTACTGTAAACCACATAATCCTTATCATTTCCATTATTCTTA